TATCAAACATACAGACGTTTAGCCCAGTTTCTGCCAAGACCACATGAAATCCTGGTGCGGCTTTGTTTTGTCTATAGCCTGGCGCTGTTGTCAGATGATGCAAGCTTGAGGTCCTGCACCCGTTCTCCCCGCCTCCATCTCTATGAGAGCAGAGTGCATTTGAGATGCTCTGGGATTTATACACAGAGAGCCTCCATTTGACACTGAGCCGCAGCTCAGCAGCACACTGGGCCCATTTATGAGCAGAAGTGCCATTTCACTGGATTTGTATTATAGGAGAGAAGGCCCAAATTGTTTGGCTTTTCCCTGCTGTGAATGAATTGAAGATGGGGGTGAAGAGAAGGAGTCAGAGCATTTGACGGAACTATGGTTGGAAATGAGAAGGTAATCTGACATGGATGGATTTGACCAGCCCTTCTTGATTCAGGTGAGTAACTGTAAGGAAAATATAGAACCCGATAAACTCATTTTAACATAGCTAGTTACGGGGCAGTCATGGCCTAATGGTGAGAGAGTTGGACTTGTGTCCAACTCCCCCCCAGGTTGTGGGTTCAAGTCTCGGTACAGGCAAGGATTGTCAGTGGGGGGAGGTGAGACCCTTGAGCAAAAACCAAACCCCCAACTGCGCCACAGCAAAAATTGCCGCCCACTTCTCTGGGTGTGTGTTCACTACTGTATGTGCACTTGGATGGGTTAAATGCAGAGCACGAATTCTAAGTATGGAACACCGTTCTTGGCTTCACTCACTCTCTCTTTATTATTAATTATCTGAACAACTTAAGCTAAGATGGTGAGAGAGTGGTGGTACATTGATTGCTGTGGAAGTAACCTTTGTTTATTATCTTGTTTTAAATCTAATCGTTTGTCTTACATCTTGGACCAAAAAACAAAATAACACATAAAACTTGTGCTTTAAGGTATATGTACATTAAATTTGTAGTGGTCATCATGCATATTCTAATAGCAGCCTAGGTCAAAACTGAACAGTTATGATTTTATGTGTAATATAGTGTTGCAGTCAGATCTTTGTGCAGGTTATATTCTGTAAAATATTTTATTTGCGATTACCTGCAGTTTAATAATTGTTTTTCACAGTACCTACAATGTATGCGTTCATACAAATCATGAGGTTATTTGCTGCTATGGCCAAGTGATGGCACTGTTATCTCAGAAAAAAAAAGTAATTTCTAATGTATCAGCTTGAAAAAAAAAAAAAAATCTGTACAAATAAAAGTATAGGTGACAATATCCAATTTTGAACATCACATTAAGCAAACATTATTAAAAGTTTAAAAAGTAACCTTAATGAATGTATAACAAGTAACTTGGTGCTATTGGTGCTAAATGTTTTAGATGTGAAATCCTTACCGACTGTGTCTGGAATAAATAGGCCTATGAATAGACTTGTACAGTAAATATGAGAAAAATATACTGTGGAAAAAATGTCTTTGCTGTTTAACCTCTTCATCTTTAAATCTAAATATTCTTAAAAATCTAAATCTTTAAAAATTCTATATATTTAAAAAAAGAAAAGTGCGTTAGCCACAATTATTGGCACTCCTTCATTTAATTCTTTGTGCATCCTCCCTTTGCCAAGATAGTGCTAACTCTTCTCCTAATGCTTCATAAGCTTGAAGAGCACATGGCACGGGATCTGAGACTGTTTCTCCATACAGAACCTCTCCAGATGCATCAGATCTTGTGGACTCTTAAGCTCAGCCCAGGCTTTGGGTCAGTGGAACATGATGGCCGTGGTAAAACCTTAATTCTGTCGACATTTTTGTATTGATTTTAATGTGTGATTTACTGGCAGAGGCAGTCAAGTTGAATATCTTCTGGGATAAGTCCATGAGACCATGTATCCTAACAAGTTGTCTAGGACCTTTGGAAGAAAAACAGCCCAACAAAGATAACCAGTTTGTACGGGCTAACTTTCTGTCTATACCAAAACCCAACTCTGGTGTTTGCTTCCAAAACTCTGCTTTGTTCTCATCTATCCATACAATTTGCATGCCATTTAAAGTTCGAGTAACATTAGGCAAACTGGAGGTGCATGAGTTTGTTGTTTGATGACAGTAAATGGTTCTTTATTGCAGCCTGCTCCACACAAGTTGTGTTTATGTCCTCTGGTTGTAGTTTTGGAGACCTCAAGACCCTACTGGCCATGTCCCAAATGGGTCTTGCAGACTTACAATGGCCGCCATATGCGTGTGTCCATTTGGTCCAAAGGGGTGCCCCATTTGTCATTTTCGTTTTCAGAACGGTGCTCATGAGCACTCCCTTTGCACTATCCTCTCTCGATGCAGCAGACTTCCACTCAACAGTCAAAGTGGCTTTACGTCACAAAAGTGTAAACTCAAGGGTGTTTAGCGTGCCATTTGAGACACTACTGTCTGCAATCCTCCAACAGATTGTTTGGCCACTGGAACCATCCTCCTCCTCACTGTGTTTGGGGGCAATACAGGCAAACATCCTCTTGCAGGATGACTGTTAACACATCCAGTTTATTTAAACTTTGCCCTGATAATGCAAATATGCTTTTTTTTCAGCAGACTGCACCAGTGCTTGTGCATTTCTGCCACCAACATGTGAGCATGAACCAGAGCCTCAAAGCACTAGCAGAGGAATCTGGTGTGCATGTCACTTCATATTCATACCCCAGTGAAACAGGAAGTCATGATCACTAAAAACCTTCTGTATGAGTGGACATATACTACATATTTATAGGAGTGCAACTAATTGGGCCCCATGTTATTATTTCACTTTTTTACAATATTATATATGTTGCATTTGTTCATGCTCACTGAAAAAAGCTACTTACTGGAAAAGCTATGCTACCTTGTAAACAGCTGAACTAATGTCTCACTACTGAAAAATGTACTCCACCCAAAACACGTACTTGTCTCATCATTTACTCATGCATACCCTTATGATGTCGAAGATGTCTATGAATTTAATTCTTCTGTGGAACACAAACTAAGATTGTTAGAAAAATAATCAATTTCTGTGAGTCTTTATAATGCAAGTGAATGGGATCCTCAAAGCCGACCCTTCAAAAAAGCGAAATAAACAGGACAATAATCCATATGACCCCAGCTGATTAATCAATGTCTTCTGAATCGATATGTGTGAGAGAAAAATACTAACATTTTAAACTTTTTAAACTATAAACCATTGCATAAACATCAGCACCTTGTGAAACTTGCACTAGAGGTGATTGTCATGTGCTTCCTTCTGCATCACTTCTCACACGAGTTTCACAATGCGCTTATGTTTACATCAAATGTGAACTCTCGAACCTTTATTTGACAGCTGGACTAAGTTTATACTTTAAAATATGAGTTTTTCTTACACCTATGGTTTTGCTTCAGAAGACTGGGTTTGTATGTGTTGGTTTTGCTTGGTGTTTGCCTGACTGATGGTCCCATCCACTTGCATTATATTGACCCACAGGGAGATATTTTTTTTTCCTAGAAGAAAGTCATACATCTGGGACAACATGAGGGGGAGTAAATGATAAGAATTTTTTCGTTTTTGGTGGAGTATCCATTTACATTAAAAATGAAATTTCTGTCATTAATTACTCACCCTCACGTCGTTCTAAACCCGTAAGACCTTCGTCCGAATCATCTTCACAACACAAGATAAGTTATTTTTGATGAATTCTGAGAGCTCTTTGACCCTCCCATAGACAGCAACGTAATTAACACGATCAACGTTCAGAAACGTAGCAAGGAGATCAGTAAAATAATCCATGTGGCATCAGGGGTTCAACTGTAATATTACGAAGCTACGAGAATATTTTTTGTGCGCAAAAGAAAAAACAAAACAAAATGACTTTATTCTGTGTCAGCCACACCACAACGTTTTCTACGTTGCTTGTGCTTTGATTTGAACGAAAACAACATATCCGTGTGGTGCGGCTGACACAGAACAACATACGCTGTTTGCGTTCAGTGGATACTCTCCAAAATGGCGCTAGGGAGGAGACGAATTGTTGAATAAGGTCGTTATTATTTTTTTCTTTTCCGTGCAAAAAGTATTCTCGTAGCTTTGTAAAATTACGGTTGAACCCCTGATGTCACATGGATTATTTTACCGATCTCCTTGCTACGTTTCTGGACGTTGATCGTGACAATTACATTGCTGTCTATGGGAGGGTCAGAGAGCTCTCAGAATTCAACAAAAATATCTTAATTTGTGTTCCGAAGATGAACGGAAGGTCTTATGGGTTTAGAACGACGTGAGGGTGAGTAATTAATGACAGAATTTTCATTTTTGGGTGAACTATCCCTTTAATATTAGTGTTGGGGAGTAACTAGTTACATGTAACAGAATTACGTAATTTAATTACAAAATAAATGTAATTGTAATCAGTTACAGTTACTGAGAAAAAATTTATAATTAAATTAGTTACTTATGAAAATGTTAACGATTACAATGGGGGTTACATCTGAATTTATTTTCACACCCACACCCACATACAGATTTAATTGATTTCTTTCATAAATTGCAGTGACGGCTCTAAAATATGAGTTCGATTCCAGTGTTTCCTTGTCATAGTTATGCAAAGATTTGAGAAACTGCATCATGGCAACTAAAATATTTCTTGTTATGGTTTTAAATCTGTATTTAACCTCAAAATGATCTCGATGTAAGTGGTCGCCGTGCTTTAAAATTAAATTTTACTTGAATCTTAATTGGAAAGTCTGAGCGTAATCAGTTGAATACTACTGTAAGGTTAACCCTGCCTGGTTTACATGTTTGAAAATGATTAACAGTTGAAAAACATTAAAAATTTAGTAAAGTAATCAAATGTAATCCGTTGCATTACTTCATTAAAGTATAATCTGTAACTTATTACATTTCCAAAGTAACCTTCCCAACACTGTTTGTACCCAACACAGCTACAAAAAAAATAGAAAGCAACTATGTGTGCTGTGACTAGTCAAACAGTAGACATCTTCAATTCATATTTTTAGCCTACTAATCAAACTGCACATGAGTCATCTGGTCCTGGAGTTTAGACGAGTCGAAACCTGGGCTATTAAATGTTAGTGAAGCTTGCCATATCACGCGACTGCTTGAAGCATTGGACAAAAACCAGCGAGCTCGTCGCGTCGCTGCAGTGATGAAAATCATGGCGGATCAACAATTCAACAACTTTCTCTGGTGAGTAAAGCCTTGCTCTCTTGATTTCTCGCAGGCTTTGTTCGCTCCTCGCCGCGGATCGGATCGGAATGAGTCGGGGCTCAGTAACGCTACAGACGTTCGCTGTTGCGTTGAAACACCATTCGCGGCTGTTATTGTTTGTTTGCGTGAAGTGTACTAGAGAATGTGTCAGTAAACACGGTTAAATCTATTAGAACGAGCTAATCTTCCCCTTTCTTTCTGTAGTCAGTCCGCTGCGTGTCTTGTTGCCACACAGATCCAGCGAGTATAGCTGCTTAAACTTCTCAAAGGACAACAACATGGACTTTGCTAAAAACACAAAACATCAGTGTCTTATCGTTAGGGAAAATATCATTTCTTGTGTCGGTAAATAATGCCAGGAGTGTAAACGAGCGGTTTTAATGTAACAAGGTCTGATATATTGAAATGAAGTGTAACTGTGTGACATGAATTATTGCCAACATGAAATATTAACAACCCTCTTCATTGTTCTCTAGTTTTTCCTCAAATACAGATCTCAATTGCACAGTCTTCTCCGTTTGATCAAGTTATGTCTGTTTTAGAACTGAAGCGTGTTAAATGTTTGTTTATAGAATTACCCGGATATTCTTTGAACACATAGGCTAATGACTTTGGTATCTCGATTTGTTTCCTCAGACTGGATTTTCATGAAACCTGTCTGTACTGTTCTGCATTTATTGTACTAGCTACTGAATCTGGCTGCATTGCAGATGAGTCTGAACCAAAGCAAGCTGATGTTATTGTGGTTCAGCTGAGTGATCTGTAGACATCAGGCTATCAGCACTCCTCTAATGGCTTTAATTGTGCTGCTTTCTGATGCAATATTATTTATACACCTCTCTACAGGGCCTAAAGAAGTGTTCTGAATATGGTTTTAGAGACCTTTTAGTCTAAACAAGAATGTTTCATTTCATAGCTATTCTTTGAAATCCATAATTGTGGGCATTTTTTAGTAGTTGTATTATAATAGTCATTATTTGACTTTTATCCCCAATGCAAAGAGCCATATTTCAAGAATAGTTACTGATATGTGAGCCTGCAGCACAAAAGCAGTCTTAAGTCGCTGGGGTATATTTGTAGCAATAGCCAACAATACATTGTATGGGTCAAAATTATAGATTTTTCTTTTATGCCAAAATCATTCGGATATTAAGTAAAGATCATGTTCCATGAAGATATTTTGTAAATCTCCTACCGTAAATATATCAAAACTTAATTTTTGATTAGTAATATGCATTGCTAAGAACTTAATTTGAACAACTTTAAAGATGATTTTCTCAATATTTAGATTTTTTTGCACCCTCAGATTCCAGATTTTCAAATAGTTGTATCTCGGCCAAATATTGTCCTATCCTAACAAACCATACATCAATGGAAAGCTTATCAGCTTTCAGATGATGTATAAATCTTGACCCTTATGACTGGTTTTGTGGTCCAGGGTCACATATAGAAATCATAAAATGAATAAATGTTGAATATTTTCAAAGTTTTAAATTGAAAAACAAACTTTGGTAAATTGGTATTTAGTGGCCAAAACAGTATTTTCACACTTGTCTAACGCAAAGATATTCATACATTTATATCATATTATAATATGCACACATAAACACAAACACTTCGTTAGGTAGCTTCAAGATATTGAAGTAACATTATGACATTTTTGACAGCGTGTTGTAAAATTGAGGGCAGCATTTTGACTTGTAAACCTAACACTGAGAGTGTTTTACTCCGGACTCATTTGTGTTTCTCACAGCATTAGCGTCAGATCAGCAGTGAGTGTCTGTCTCTGATAGCTGCTCAGACCTGCTCGACAGGTTTCTGATGTCAGAACAATGAAGACCTAAAAAGGATCAGCAGGCCAGAGCAGTTAAACCCAACATAGTTACAAAGTTACTTTCCGAGCGAGAACAGGTGGATATCTCTGTGGCTCATGCAAAATGGGTGAGAAACGCTTGGCCACGAATACTGTGTGACTTGCGTGACTTGTATCGTGAGCTGGCCGCAGTTTGGACAAACCATCTGATTGTGAAAGGACATGAAATATTGCCAGTTCTTCATACACAGAACAGTTAGGAAACACTGAATAGCAGTAATCCAACAATTTTGGATTACTTTCATTCTACTGTAAGTCGTAATGGCTTCTTTTCAGACACAGTTATTGACAGGATATCTGTCACCATCTGCGTTTCTGCTCTTCTTAGCGGCAAAGACGTGATGACCAATGTTTCTTGCAACAACAAAAGTGTGTCCTAGAACACTTCATCAGATGTGTTGTTGGGCATTTTATGTGTGTGCTTTGTCCTGAGGAGCGGTGGAAATAGTCTGGGCCTGTCGATCATCTGTCCTTACCATTTTCAGGCAGTTAAGTTATTAATTTTATCGTTGTTATTATCAAGCTCAAGATTGGGCTGTTGTTCTGTGTTATTATTAGCATGACTTATGAGTGAATGGCTTTAGATTAATCTATTATTTTGATAAACCTTCCTGGTTGGATGTTGAATGTTATAGAAAAACTATAATAAATACAAAAGTTTATACTAATTTTTACACAAGATTTATTTTGCAGAAAGACTGACCCGTCTTTAATGAAGCAGAAAGCAGAAGTGTGCTGTGAGAATTACTAATCATCAAACATTATGATTTTATTATTATCATCTGAAGACTAACTGGGTGTTCTTTTGAATGATGGCTTGTTTAATTCTGTTCGGAGGACCCTGTCAGAGAGATTTGTCCTTGACTTATCAGGAGCTTCACTCTCATGTTGCGAGCTGTAATAGAAAGACTGCATTACATGACATTAGATTCAGTCTTGACTTGCGGGTGACCTTGTTTATAAACTGTATGCTGTGCTGTTTTGGAGGGTTATTGAGTCACGTAGTCACATTACAAATACAATACCCACTTCAGAGTTGCTAGGTACTATATGAGAGTAATGGATATAGGAAATGGTGTTTTTAACCATATATTATAATTCATGTCTTGTTTGTTAAAGATTTGTTTTACTTTCCCTCCGGCCATCCCAGATTAGGATGAGTTTGCTCTGTCATCAGATTTGGAGAAATGTAGCATTGCATCAGTGTCTCAGCAATGGATGCTCTGCAGTGAATGGGGGGCGTCACAACAGGAGATGCACTTTTTCACTGGAGGAAGCGTTATTATGGATTATGGACTCTTTTAGTTAAAAACGTGTTAATGCTGGATTTGTTTCAGCTTTTGTCTTCTCCAGCTGTTCACTGATGGACTGGAGTGGTGTGGATTACTTGTGGATTATTGTGATGTTTTTATCAGCTCTCATTTTGACGGCACCCATTCACTGCAGAGCATCCATTGCTGAGACACTGAGGCAGTGCTACATTTCTACTAATCTGATGAAGACACAGACTCATCCTAATCTGGGATGGCCGGAGGGTGAGCACATTTTAAGCAAATGTTCATTTTTGTGTGAACTATTCCTTTCAGGACCATTGTTTTGGCCACGTTCCTGATTTCAGATCAGTATGTTTGTGAGGTCAGGTCATTTCTATTTGTTCTGTTCTCATGCTAGATTATTGAAGTCTGCTGCTGCCCGCCATGATGGAGCATATTCAAGGGGCCTGGAAAAGCATCAGTCATGGGATTGGATGCAAAGACTCGGTATTTGAAGAATCCTGCATGTCTCCCACCATTCTCAATAACTTCCCGTACCGGAGATTATCAGATGACGGGAGAATCCCAGACTCGAAAACTAGCAGCACAATCCGCGTCTACCTGCCCAACAAACAGCGGACTGTGGTAACAATAAAATAATCGAACACTTTCAGTGAATGTTTGACACAATACGATGAGCATGAGATTATCCTGGTGCAGTGTCTTGACCCATAGACTTGCGCTGTAAGCGCCATGATGAATGAGCAGTTTGTTATTACAAATTCACAAAGTGCTTGTCGATATAATGCCAAAGATGCAGCCTGGATTGTTCCTTTCATCTACACAACCTTAACATGCTTTCACTTCAATTTAAGTGATAAAATATTGAACTTGTGTTGTAATAGGTGAACGTGCGACCAGGTATGACGCTACGCAACTGCCTCATCAAAGCCCTGAAAGTCCGTGGGCTTCAGCCAGAATGCTGTGCTGTTTTCAAGCTTCATCGAGAACATTCATTGTAAGTTGTGGCCTATGGTCAAAAAAAAAAAACATGTTGTGAGCTTGCAGTCTGAATTGAATATATATAGTGAGAAAGACTGAGCACTGTGATATTATTGACAACAAAGTTTATCGCCTTGTCTTCACTGTTTGCATGTGGCCATCAACATGCAGTTCCAATAAAAAGTTGTGTGTGTATTGAACCCAAATTAATTTGGTATTTTTGCCAATGATTAACAGAAAGTCTCTTTTTACAAAACGATGTAAAAAAAATAACAAATTATAAAATGCATTGTAACTGATAATGCTGGATTTTGATATAGACCATTTTACAAGCTCACAAGAGTTCATTCTGATGCATTTGGGAATGACTGTAATATCCTGGAGGAAAACCTCTAGTAATGGCTTAAAATCAGCATTGTTGTCCTGGAGTGGCCAACTCTGAGTAAAGATCTCGGTCCAGTTTATGAGTGAACTTGTAAAGGTCTCCCGTCATGTAACCTGACTGAGCTTGAGCAGTTTTTCCAGAGAGACCAGAGCAAATCTGATAGATGCAGAGCTGCTAATTATGACTTAAAGGGGCATGAATACTTATGAAAACTGTTATTGTGTGTTTAATATCTGAAATAATCAAGCTCCAATTGGTTTAATCTTGGCCCTGAAAGTCAATTAAATGAAATCGCATCATTCTTTGTGTTCAGTAAAAAGTTGCGCATGGATTGGAGCACTGATTCTACCTCACTGGTCGGAGAGGAGCTGCTGGTTGAAGTCTTAGATCACGTACCCCTGACTACGCACAATTTTGTGAGTTCCCATAATGTGTTTAAATTGAGCCATTGTTGTCTTTACGACTTCTCTAATGACCATCCCCTCCACAGGTACGAAAAACCTTTTTGAAGTTGGCCTTTTGTGACATATGTCAGAAGTTTCTTTTGCACGGCTTCAGATGTCAGACGTGCGGCTACAAGTTTCACGAGCACTGCAGCACCAAAGTGCCCACGATGTGTGTGGACTGGAGCAACATCCGACAGCTCCTGTGAGTGTTTATCAACCCATACACAAGAACAAACTCCTGCTTTTGTCACGCTTCACGTCTACACAGGGCTACTGTCTTGTAAATATCAGGATTTTAATGTTTAAAATTTTATTTCCAGACCTAGAAAAGGAAAAGTTACAGCAATACTATATTGTATATGTTTTTCTAGTGAGATGTCATAGAAACTCAGAAGGCATAGGAACCCAGTTTATGCACGTTCTATTATAAATGTAACCATGCTTAAAGTTCCGATTTTGAGTAATGTATGTGTTTCATAGCTTTTTTATATTGAACAGGCTTTTTTCCTCTGTTGAAGAGAAGATAGACATGTAGATGTAGTTCAGGGGAAGTCTCTTGATGCACAGAAAGAGTTTTGCATAGAGGCTCTCATACTGTGAGCTTTGTAGATGTCTATCAATGAAAATCAGGTAATGCACGGTACAAAGGTCCATTCTTCTGGTGCTCGTACTAGTCACTTCATGCTGCAGGAATTCATCACAAAGCCCTACTTCAGTTAAAAAAAATAAAAATTACAAGCATAATGTTTTCTAAGATTATACCAAGGAAAATCCCTCATTAGTCCATCTAAAATTATATATTGTATAGCTGGGAAAACATTTGTAATATTTCTGTCATGACAACTCTCGGAGGGATTGGCATGGTAATGTACATGACAATGTTAATGTATTTGGTCTTGGCGGAATAGATCTGCTACGCTGCTGCTGCAGCAGAGCAAGTACTGAGACTTGCTACTGCCAATACATCCACAACATGCTGCTGTGAGCATGTAAGAAACACTGCTGCTGCACATATAACATACATGAAATAACCCCCATATAGCATACATGAATCACCTCGTAGCAGATCTATACAGGTGGAGCTGGGGAAGGTGGAGGGTTTCTGAAGCAAGCTGCAACTGCTACGGCAAGCACTAGTCATATATTTGAATATTGAGCAGCGAGCTCATTGGTTACCGATACAAGAGAGAACCAGTCAGCTGCCATGTGACAATGATGTCACCAGATCCAGATCGGACTGCGCCATCTAGAGTTGCATGCCAGAACTCTGTATTTGTAATTTAATTTAAGTTAATTCAATGGCCGTGTGCTTTTCCAGACTGTTCCCGACTCCCGGAGAGAACGGGACTCCATCGCTCCCTCCCCTCTCATCCCGTCGCATGCAGAACTCGAAATTCTCCTTCAGGTAAATATAGCCTGTTTCTATATTTACCTCAAATGCCGTGAACTGACTCGACAAGTCCTCTGAAAATCAAAGCATGTCAAGATGCCACCTTGTTTTTTTTCTTCTTCCTTGTATTTAGGGATTATGCTTGTAGTTCCTTGTGTTAAAGCATTTCAGGTGATCGTCTGCTGGAAAACATTGTTCCTTACGCAGTTTTGTCAGCTTTATATCATAAACAGCCACCTTAATCTCAAAATCGTGCATGCTGTTAAAATATTTCACTAGTAATATTTGTTAGTTAAAAATTAACAGTTATATTTTCCCATTTAGTGCTGAAATGATTGGCCTTAGAAAGTTCCAGCCAGGTGGAGAAACGCAACCCAATCAAGATTACAGCATTTGTGGCATGAGATTGATCATCACAAAAAATAATTGTAACAATAACACACTTCCAGTGGTAGTACACTAGGCCAACAAGTAATTAAAACAACTAACAACCATTAAAATCCACACTGCTTTAGAAATATATCCACTACACATTACAAGACGTTGCTGGCATGATGTGACAAAATCACTTGCTGGCCTTGTCTGTGTAAACTTGCACCCAGTTTTGCAACTTGTTAGTTTTTCCTGTTTTCATGATGACGTAAATCTATTTAGTAACTTTCACATAAAATGCGCACTGATACTCAGCAGGAGCCTGATCTGTAGATGTTGTTGTTTTTATATATATATATATATATATATATACTTTTTGCCAATCAAGATCTAAGCAAATGTTCTTATTTTTAAATGTGCTAGTGGCATTTGATCTTCTTTAGTCTGTCCGACATTTGCTATAACTTTTTTAACTTTACATTCACTATGCTTTTATTATAGAGCACTGCGGTGATGGAGTATTTTTGTAGGACAACCTTATGTTAGCATCACACTGGTTTCTTTGCCTAAAACCCTAATAGGTTTTTTCCATTGGCTTTTTACAGAAAATAAGCTCTGGGACCAACAAAAGCTTATGAGGCTCACCTTGTTTTTTAAAATCAAAAACCAATTCAGAAAACCCACTGACTTCAGGACGATGTAACCGGAAGTGCTAAAATGCATCTCGTTTCTGGGTTTTGGCCTACAAAAATACACCGTCCCTGCAGCACTCTATAATATTTAGTGAATCCTGTAATATATATTGCGACGTTTTATGTTTGTGCTATGAAAGAAGTGAATTTGCACAGCCAGACTTGGGTCTAAACTCATTCGAAGCTTTGTGAGAAAATGAACTCTCCTTCGTGGTGTGAGCGCGTGCTGAGATTCACTGACGCACAAACACTTCTCTAGTCCCTATCACAGATACTCGACGCCAAATGCTTTAAACTACATCACCCCCATGCCGTCCCCGGGTGTTTCTCTCAGTCATAAAGTGCTGTCCACATCCACCCCCAACGTCCACATGGTGAGCACCACCCAGCCGGTCGATGAAGCTGCTTATCAGGTGAAACGCCAGCGCTCACTGTTCTGTCCTAAAATCAGCATAAAATCTCTCAAAGTTTCCATATGTTAAAATAGTACTTCCCTCTTTATTCATAGGAAGCCTTAGGGCGAGATGAATCCGGTAAGGGGATTTTCAGAACTTTTCCTCAGGTTTCATAGCAAAGCTAAGGTTGAAATGCCTTCTTACATATCCCATTTTTTATGTGTCGCATTCATTCACAGGAAGCCCTCAAGATCAGAGCCCGACGGAGTGGTCCAAAACCCCGGCTCCAGCTCACAGGGAGAAAGCGCCTTCGACCAACACTCAGGAAAAACGCATCGTAAGCGCCAGCCATGTCCACTTTACTTTGCTTGAGACACGCTAGAATGAAAAATCTGATTAGTTTCTGCCAACTAAGTTTGGATCAGTTCCTTGCTACTCAAACAAAATGATCATTTTTAAATGGTACGTGACATTTCTGTCAACATTAGCTAATGTTTGCGTGGTTTGTTTATTGGTCACTAGCGTCCTCGAGAGAAGAGAGATTCCAGCTACTATTGGGAGATCGAGGCCACTGAGGTGGTTCTGCTCTCCAGGATCGGCTCAGGGTCTTTCGGCACAGTTTACAAAGGGAAGTGGCATGGTAAGAGTTCTTTCTCACCATTCATTTATTTATTTGTATTATTAAATAGACTTCAGCTGATGTGTGGTCATGCAGGGGTGCATGTAATGGCTATTTCACAATGGCATCGAACACATCCAGTGAAAAGGATGTCTTTGAGTGTCTGAGTGTTTTGTATTTAACTCTAATAATCTGATCTTTGTGATCAGAGTTCCAAAATAAAAAAAAATAACTTAAGTCACTAATTATTAAAGTGCACCTATTATGCCATTTCGAATATTGCCTTTCATGCAGTGTGTAATGTAGCTGTATGTGAATGTAAACGATCTGCAGAGTTGTAAAGCCGAAAGTGCATGATAAATAAAGTTATTGTCTCCCAAAAGAAAGAATCGACTCTGAACAGCCGAAACGAGTCTTCATTAATTCGGATGTGGAGAAGACGCTGTGTCCTACGCTGTGAAAGTAAATTCATTTTATTTTCACTTCCGAAAGATGAGGCTGCAAAGAATCGGTGGCTAAAATTAAAATTTCCACTGTACCACAGCAGTGCGACCCCGATCTTTTTTGTGTTCCCATCATTTTACTGATGGCTGCTTCACAAAACGCTTGCTTTTGAAAGCTGGCTCAGTACCCAGTGTATTTGGACCAGCTGACTCCACTGAATCACAACCTGTAAGTATGAGAAATAATAGATGTTTATATTTTCTATCGAGCGTTCAAAATACACAACTTTGGCATATTGTTTCCGACACATGCTGTACACAGTAGACCAATCACAACAGACTGGGCCATCTGACCAATCAGAGCAGAGCAGACTCACGGAAAGGCGGGGTTTAGAAAGACTGAATCGCAGAACTACTTCGAACGAATCGTTGGAAAATGAGCTGATATTGAATGCATATTTTGATAAAACTGAAGCGTTCTTTGACCTTGCATGCATGTAAACCTGTTGTAGGAGACTCCCAAAACAATATTAGGAACCTTAAAAATGGCATAATAGGGGCACTTTAATTAAAAAAACAACAAAACAAAAAAAACATTCCTAAATGGTTGTGTAATATTTAAAATATTTGCGGGGTGAATTTCCAGCGAAATAAAATTAAATAAAATCACTATATATTGATATATACATGACATGCAGGGGAAAAAAATAAAATAATATAAATAATAAAATAAGGAAACAAATTAATAAATGATTGGAATAAATTATTACAACATTGACACAATTTAGCTAAAATGGCGAAACTAATTAATAAATAGTGGGAATGAATTCTTAATTCATGGCCATGATTTTTATTATAATTATAGTTGAAGTGCACTTATAATGTGAAGCTGAGTCGACCGGCTTAGACGAACAGAAATCCCGCTTGCTTTAGTCAGTTTAAGTTACTTTATTTCATGAATTTTCAGGTGATGTTGCTGTGAAGATTTTAAAGGTCACGAATCCCACACCAGAGCAGTTACAGGCCTTTCGCAACGAAGTAGCTGTTCTCAGGTAAACCACAAAAGGGAAAACTGCAATTATTCATAGTGAAATTATTACATTATACCCATAAATGCGAGCTTGAGAGAAACATTTGCATTATAACCTTGTAGCGATCTCGTTCTCCAGTGTTCATGTAGTGCTAGCATCTGTTAAACACTGTCCAAATGCAGTCAGTCTCATTGGCCGAGCAGCTGAAGTGGTTTCTGTTGTTGTTACAGGAAGACCAGGCATGTCAATATTGTTTTGTTTATGGGATACATGACCAAGGCAAACATGGCCATTGTGACGCAGTGGTGTGAAGGAAGCAGCCTCTACAAACATCTGCACGTGCAGGAGACCAACTTCCAGATGTTCCAGCTGATGGACATCGCCAGACAGACGGCTCAGGGCATGGAGTGAGTGTTTCAGAGGGCATTCAGGGAAACTGGCTATAGTTTTATGAAGGCGCAGGGATGGCCGATCCTGAGAGCTCCTGTCCTGTAGAGTTCAGTCCTGAACCAGCTGATCACGGTTTTCAGGATCTCAGCTTTAGAGGCAGGTGTGTTGCAGCTGGGGGCGTGCGATATATATCATCTACGATGATATCATAATTGTTGTTTAAAGCAGTCCTATTATGCTTTTTCAACTTTAGTTAGTCTGTAATGTTGCTGTTTGAGCATAAAAAAGATCTGCAAAGTTACAAAGCTCAAAGTCCACTTCAAAAGGAGATTTAACAGAAATCTACACTTTTCAAAAACTACAACGAACGACTCGTTTGGACTACAACGCATATTTTCGACGAATGGGACGAGACCTGGTTGAGCTGCACTAGAGAAGGCAGCGAGTGTTATCACTATGTCGGAGACACGCTAGCTTTCCCTAAGCAGACGAACTTAGAGTGTTTACAATCATCTGGGTTTAAATCGCGCTCAAATTGATTTGATTTTGACGCAATATTTACACTGAAGCTCGCAGGCGGCTATGGTAAGGGGCATGACATTTCCCGAAACCAATCACAGAACACAAGTCACAGCACACACTGGCCCAGCTAACCAATCACAGCACATTTCGTATTTCAGAAGGCGGGCCTTCATTTGATACAGGAACTATTTGAGTCGTTCATGCCAGACTGGGGAGAGAGGTGTTGTAATAATGTAAAATATGTGAAAAATAATGTGTTTTTCGAACAACCTAGTATGAGAGCCTATTCTAGTACACCCCCAAAACAAAATCAAGACTTTGTAAAAGAGCATAATAGGACCCTTTTAAATGATATGCGATTTTACATTAGCGAGTACACACTCAGAGAGTGCAGACATACACTATGAGATTTAGATTCACATTTAGAGTTTCACTGCGTGATTTAGTTTATTAAAATATTCTAAAATATTAAAATATTTAGAATTCCACCAAAATTAAAGGGTTAAAAACGTCCCGTATGACTTTTATGTCTTTATTTATATAATCTGATATAGTTAATGTCACACAAAGAGTAGTTTTTTTTCTCTAAATATCACAGTTGCAAATGTGACATTGATTTGATGAACAGTTCAATAAATAAGTTGATATTAATTGGCTTACATTTTAGACACAACAGTTCCTGTATTTGCTCTATTTCCTCAATGAAAATAGTTTTAAACAAAGCCACAGCTGAACTGTTTTGAGTCTCTGAGCAACACAACAGTGTTTCGTTACTGAATCAATCAGCTGTTTGAACGCATCGCTTGAATGAATGACTCAATGACTCACTCATGCAGTGAATTTAGCTTTATATTGAAAGTATATTTTCCCTTTTTTCTCCAAATCCTTTCAAATATTAGTATTCAATGTTTTGTTTTGTAACTGCATTAATGCCCTGCATGAAACAGTCTGTGTGAAAGCATCTAAATGCCACTTCAGACACAGATTCTGTTCCTCTGCATTGCAAACACAGATTTTGTTGATACTGATTTCATTTGATTGGTAACAGCCCTGTAGTCTCTTACTATTTGAATTTGATTCAAATTAAGAATTTGACGCAAAAGATGATGCATACATTTAATTAAGTTAGAAAACAAATATGAAGTCTCATGAAGGTAAAAATGCCCATAAAAGGTCAAAATCTATTTAAACTTATTGGAAAAGTTGCAAACTATCCACCGCACAGAATATGAAAAATATCAAAAGCTTTGGCAGTCAGAGGTCCACAGCAGTCCTAAACCTGCCAAAATACCAGCACAGTAACACACTCAGAGAAATATCATCTTGATTATCATTATAGACAAAATTCCAGAAAATATCGAGATAGAATTTTTTGTCATTATGGCACACCCCTAGTTGCAGCAGGGTTGGCTGCCCCTGATCTAAACCAGCGTTCATCAACCCTGAGTCTTGCAACCCTAAATGCTGTTATTTGCTAAATGCAAATTATAACATGAAGCTAGCCAAATGCTGTATGGTTGGGATAGGAAAATTAACAGGCTTATCAACTTTCAAAACTTCCATACTTAAGCTGTTTTGTTGTAGATGTCAAAGGCTGTGCATCTAATGAATTCAACAGTATATTGGCTTAAATAAATAGTAAATTGATAGAAGATAGTGAACTTAGATGCCAACACAGACAAGCTGTCTGACGTGGCATGATCCTCGAAAACCATGAACAAAACTGCACAAAGTAAATAAAAATGCAACCCAAAATACACTAAATATGAATTGCTTTTGTACAATAAACTGCTTTGGTACTGTGTTGGGTATTGCAATGAAAAAATATACTACCATTCAAAAGTTTGGGGGCTCTTGGGGGTCTTAAGTCGCTGGGGTGTATTTGTAGCAATAGCTAGAAAAACATTGCATGGGTCAAAATTATAGATTTTTCTTTTATGCTAAAAATCATTAGGATATTAAGTAAAGATCATGTTCCATGAAGATATTTTGTAAATTTCCTACCATAAATATATTACAACTTAATTTTTGATTAGTAATATGCATTGCTAAGAACTTCATTTGGACAACTTTAAAGATGATTTTCTCAATATTTAGATTTTTTTGCACCCTCAGATTCCAGATTTTCAAATAGTTGTATCTCGGCCAAATATTGTCCTATCCTAACAAACCATACATCAATGGAAAGCTTAGTATTCAGTTTTTATTTTATCTCAATTTTGAAACATTTACACTTAAGACTTAAGGTTTTGTGGTCCAGGGTCACAATTAATAATATCCAGCAAGGGACTCATTAAATTTATCAAAAGAGACCTTTACAAAGACCTTTTCAATTAAATGTTGTTATTTTACATGTCACTGTATATCTGTATATCCATCAAAGAATCCTGGAGAGAAAAAAAAAAATATATATATATATATATATATATTATTGATGCATTTGATACTTTTCAGGCTTTGTGTTTGAAAGAAGAATGTTTTGGACCTGCGGTATTTGTAGTGTAACACAATTAAGACTGCAGAGCACAGCATGCTGTCACAGAGTTTGACAGCATAGTATATTTTCAGTGGCAGATTTGCATTTTGAGAGCATGATACCATCAGCTATTTATAGAAATGGGACCAGGTTTTAAAATAGTACGGCATAGGTGGGTGTTTATGTGTAAACTCAGAGGTGGTTTTGTCAGTTAACACCTGACGGTTTTCTCTACCAGTATGATGACAATGCCAAATATATACAGAATATAACCTCTGGGAATATAGAATTAAAATGTTTTCTAATAACTCTTCATGTCTTTTGTTTTCTAGTTACCTACATGCAAAGAACATCATCCATCGAGACATGAAGTCAAATAGTATCTTTTACGAACAACTTCTGAATTTGACATCCTTTTATTTCTGTATTGCATTGATTGAAGTGGTGAGCCATTGCTGCTACAGCAGCCTCTATAGAGAAGGTTTATTTTTGAAGCATGTTGTTTTGTGCTCACCCCGACCAATGAATATAGTGCTCAAGCTGTCATGAATTCCCTTCACGGAAGCTCAGATATCTTCCTGCATGAAGGGTTGACGGTGAAGATCGGTGATTTTGGTCTGGCCACGGTGAAGGCGCGGTGGAGCGGCTCTCATCGAGTGGAGCAGCCGTCTGGCTCTGTTCTGTGGATGGTGCGTTAAATGAAGAGTTCAGCCAAAGATTGGTGAAAATGTGCTCACCCTCCGGCCATCCCAGATTAGGATGAGTTTGTGTCTTCATCAGGTTTGTAGAAATGCAGCACTGCATCAGTGTCTCAGCAATGGATGCTCTGCAGTGAATGGGTGCCGTCAGAATGAGAGTCCAAACAGCCGATAAAAATGATATAACCAAAATATGAGTCCATAATCCAAATTAACGCTTCCTCCACTGGAAAAGTCCATTCTTGTAAACGGTGCAGATTTCTCTCCTGATTCAGACGAGATGACTTTTTCACTGGAGGAAGCGCTATCATGGATTATGGACTTGTATTTTAGTTAAAAGCGTCTTAATGCTGGATTAGTTTCAGCTTTTGTCTTCTCCAGATGTTCACTGATGGACTGGAGTGCTGTGGATTACTTGTGGATTATTGTGATGTTTTTATCAGCTGTTTGGACTCTCATTCTGACGGCACCCATTCACTGCAGAGCATCCATTGCTGAGACACTGATGCAATACTACATTTCTACAAACCTGATGAAGACACAGACTCATCCTAATCTGGGATGGCCTGAGTATATTTTAAGAAACAGTGTTTTATGTAATACTTTATGAATCTCTTACTGATACTGATGTTTTTAGGCTCCTGAGGTCATCCGGATGCAGGACAACAATCCTTACAGTTTTCAGTCGGATGTATACTCGTACGGTGTCGTCCTGTACGAGCTGATGACAGGAGAACTGCCTTATTCTATGATTGGAAATAGAGATCAGGTACAGTATCATTCTGTGATATCACACGATCGTGGACGTGATACAGTAATCTACCTGTTCACCCTGCATTAAATAGCACATGGATTTCACTCTCAGATTCCTGCTTACAGGGTTCTTACGCAGTTTGGAAGTTGATTTTAGTAATTTCTAGGTCTGGAAACGTATGGAAAACAGAGTATGGAAAAATATTTGCATTTCCAGACTTTTGCACTTATTTAGTTTTCAATAATTGAAAGTTATACATTTAATGAAAATAAATGTATCCTACAAGAAGTGTGTTTTCATGGCAGCTGTGCAGTGATTGTCAAACACGACTGAATGAATGCACTTTTTCATTATGCAGGTTTTTTCCTCAGGATATTCTTAGCACTCTATTACAGAGCCTCTAAAAGGACCTTTGCAGAAATAAAAAATATACAGACTTTCGTGTGCGCACGGGAAACCATTAAACTTAACACATAAGACGATGCACACTGATCCATCTGTTGCACCATCAGCTCATTTCACGGTGGTTTCTTGACTGCCACACAGTAGGCTATGCGTTAAAGCAGACCGAAGGCATTCAAATATGATGTACTGCCCTAAAAAAAGCCACATTTGAACACTTTTAGTTTTTTACAGTACCAGTCTTCTTCTAGAGCATTGGCAGGACAGGACAGTGCACACAGCTGTATTGTGCCGTCAGCTCATTTCATGTCATGGTTTCTCTGCCGCTACAGAGGATGTGTTAAACTGGAATTAAGGTCTTGATATTAGAGGTGCTACTCTTAAGGAAAGCCAAATTTTGAGCAAATAGATCTCTGTTAATCTATGTGCATCCATGCTGTCGTTTTCTTCATAGTAAGATGACAGTGACGCACAAAGGAAATGGGTTATAGTCTATAAAACTAGAAAAAGTAATGCGTAAGCGAGCACAATATTCCCGTGCACATGTGAATAGTTTCTCGAGGGCACGAAAAACTTTCTTGTGTGCATGCAAAAGTCTGTATGTGTGCAAGAAAATCAATAAAAAAAAAAAACCCTGAGAAGTATTTACAGATGAGAAATAGATGGAAATAATGCTGTATGTACCATTTATGTGAAATACGGTCTGAAAATCTGCTGAGAGGTTTGGGATTCGAGTCTGGAAAAGTGTGGAATTTTGAAATGGAAAACATGTAGGAATCCTGTGCTTAGGAAGATTTTTTTGTGTGTTACACTATAATTAGAAATAGGAGTTGTAAAATTAGTTTTTATTATATTTAGCAAGAAAACTAATCCTATTTTTAAGAATGTTACATCGTGACGTTATTTTTATGACAGTTAAGTACATTTAAAAAAATTCTTCCTCAAGTAGTGAAGTAGATGCTAAAATGAAGCCCATTCTATTTAATGTGAAATCTAATTGTATATATTTTTTTTATCTTTCAGTTTTGAGCTTAAATATGACCTGGGCATTTCTTTGCAAGACTAGACACGAGTCCTAGTGTGTTTAAGCTACAGCATTGGCTCGCAGGGCGTGATACATGCAGTAGCTCAGTATTGAGTGTGAGTGTGTGTTGAGCTTGTGCTCACAGCAGCGTGACTCTGAAATGTGTTTGGCAGTGATCCTGAGCGCTCCGGCCCTGCTGCTAAATTTAGGAGCCCAAAGGCTAAAGGTCCGTTTAAACTACCCTCGCTGCTTTTGTAGCCTATTGTTTAATGATGAGGTGAAACGAAGGCCATTATTATTGTTTCCCCCAAATCCTCGTTCAAAATCAGGGATTCTCACTCATTAAGTATTGCATTCCAGCATGAAATCTGTCCTGCATTTTTTGCTGTGGCTGATTTGTGTAGGCGAGGTGTGCTATTGCTTTTCTAAGACATCAGACTTGAAATCTATTCAGTGCAGGAAATAAATAGACTTATCTATATCTAGAGCCACATCTAGAGACCAGAATATCATCCTAGTGTCTTTTGCACGGACGAGCAGCAATCGCGCTGTGCACATGCAAAAATCTAGTTCCCGTTGTCGTTTCGAGTAGAGTTAGTTGTTCCCTGTTGCTTTGTATGCAGATCATCTTTATGGTGGGGAGAGGCTATCTGACCCCTGACCTCAGTAAACTCTACAAGAGCTGTCCTAAAGCCATGAAGAGACTCGTCGCCGACTGCATCCAGAAGTCCAAAGACGACAGACCGCTGTTTCCGCAGGTAACATCGCTTACAAGTCCAGTGTAATCGCTTTCATTACTGTCAGAGGAAAACATTACATTATCACCTATTTCATGACAATTAAGCACATTGTTTCCCGCAAATTATTCTGATTGATGATTCTCTTTACTCTAGAACAATATTTTTAAACTATATATATATATATTACATAATATACAGTGTTTATGTTCTTAAAAAACTATTATAAATGTACAACAATAAATATTTACACTTTAGAACTTTAAACTGAAAAAAATAAAACAGCCATTTATTCCCAAGTGTGTAGTATTTGCCCAAAACAGATGAAAAATACATTTGCAACAGCTTGAATATAATGGCCTATGGTAATAACTGTAAATATTTTGTTAATAATAATGCATTTTGTGTTTATTGTTGAAGTCGAATGCTCAATTAGTTATTAATATTGTGTCAAAAAGCAGAAATAATTAAAAAATTGTTCTGCATGCCAGTTATCAGAATGAAATAATCTGTATCTGTCATAAAACGACTATCTGTTGATCTAAAATCTTAAATGTAAATAATGTATTATTTTACAATTCAGTGTCTTAACTGTAAATAGTGTCGTAATGCAAAAACCTTGATGTCCTAAAATAGTTATTAATATTATTTTCAGTTTTTGAATAATTATGGCATGGTAGTGTTCTCGTTTTGGTGGATTCGCCGCCTTGTTGCTGTGCGTTTGACCCAAAATTGAGCACTGTAAAAATGTTTTTTTTGTAAGATTATTGGAGTATGCTTTACAATTTCAGTTTTTCAGTTTCTTCTGTGTTTAATTCAATGCGTTACTTGCCGTTTCTTTGTAATTGTTTGTGAAATTTACTAGCAATTTCTAAGTGAAAGTTGTAAATCCAGCACCTTTTTTGTTTTCAGTGTACCTCAAATAATTTGGCCACTTATGATGTGTAGATTTATTGATTATGAACTGTAGCTGTTTGTTATTAAAGCAATAATCCCCAAGAAGCCGTGGTTTACAGTGAATTTATAACAGCTAAGAGGGTTTTAGACACTCATACCTAACAACGCCCCTTAGCTGTAAACAAAGGTGTGTGTTTGTAGAGTAATTTACAACAGCTTCGACCTTCAGCCAATCAGAGTCAAGCACCGGAACGCTCCGCTTTATAATAACCGTTAACTCGCGTGGATGGCAATTCGAAACCATTTTCATGCAGGGCTGTATAATGTATATGTTTTACTGCATTGGCATGATTTATGTTGGTGTCTTTTCTAGATCCTGTCCTCGATTGAGCTGCTCCAGCACTCGCTCCCCAAAATAAACCGCAGCGCGTCCGAGCCGTCGCTCCACAGGGCCGCGCACACCGAGGACATTAACGTCTGCACTCTGGCGCTTTCATCCGCCTTCAAGTGAAGAGGACGCACTGGCCACAAGTCTCATGTTAGAGCTGTGAACGTCCAGGAGTTGATTTCTGTGCTTTGTTTAGTATATTCTGTGTGTTACCTTCAGTCGGCCGGTGCTTGAGCTGGCTGACTTTACTGAAGCTGCTCTCTCTTCTGCTCTGCTGGCGTTCGGTGCCCCAGGACCTGTTTGGGAGGGAGCAGCTGATAGCACTTTCTTCACGCGGCTCACACTTTGATTGATTGTGTCTGGCTGTATCATTACTCCATACGATCACTCTGAGGGGTTTCTCATCAACCATGCAATCATGTGTGTCTGAAACGAGAGGCTCGACATGGAGCCGGTTGTGTTTTTATATCAGACGCCATCTAAACGCTTCCTTAGCACAAGCTATAGGGAGCACTTTATGATCTCGAGTCTAGATGTCTCTTTGACTGTGTATGTTACGAAAATCAAAGAAAGAAGAGTGGTCATAATTAACTTTATTATGAGACTTGTTAGGGATTTCTTTCGGCTTTTAGTGCTTGTCATGGAGAATTAACTTGTGAACTTGACAGATTGTTTATTCATTGTATTTTAATAAAATTAAGTTAAATACACCACACAAGATTTGTGCTTAGTATGAAGCTTTGAGTAGTTTATTGTGTTTATGAACCAGCAGCAATAATGTTATACAAGATGACCGTATTCAATGATTAAGGACTAGTTCACACAAAAATGAAAACTTGCTGAAAATGTACTCAGTCCATATAAGATTATGAGTTAGTTCCTTCATCAGGTTTGTAGAAATGTAGCATTGCATCAGTGTCTCAGCAATGGATGCTCTGCAGTGAATGGGTGCCGTCAGAATGAGAGCTGATAAAAACATCACAATAATCCACAAGTAATCCACAGCACTCCAGTCCATCAGTTAACATCTGGAGAAGACAAAAGCTGAAACAAATCCAGCATTAACACGTTTTTAACTAAAATGCCATAGAGCCCATAATCCTTAAAATTGCTTTCTGTTTCTTTAAGAAAAATCTGTTGTTGGTCTGAATGCGTGCTGATATTTAGTACTCTTGCTCGTGTGAAACTACCTGAATACAATTACAATGGTTTCATTTCAACTCTCGTGTCTAGTGATGTAGCTCATTAGCGTAGAAGCCTGTAGATGATATTGCTGATATGAATATGAATGTCATAAGATGTTCAGCCACAGCTGTGAGTGTGTTTCGGCTGTACACATGGCTCATTCAGAACCAGAACAATTTTAATGCATAATTTGGGTTTTGTGGGTTAAATAATATGACACGACCTGACAGAACCTTTTTTTTTTACACAACAGATCAGTGCTGCAAAGACACAATTGTGCATTTAACATCACATATTGGCTTTTCAACATGTTACTTTATTAAAGATGTTAAAAATCAATCGCGAACAGCACATCCTGAATATGGTACAAATAAAGGTTTCATTACTTTGCATGGTAGAGAAACTAATTCAAATGAACATTGCATAAAAAGTAGTTTTTCTGAATTGCTAAAGCGCATTCCTTGAAACCATCACTCGTTTTCTCAAAACCTTAAACACAAATCCAAACCTTCAAACTAAATTCACAGAACCCCTGACTCTTCTGGCAAAATCAAACAATCGCTTCAAAACCATTTCACCTGTATTCAAAATCAAACAATCATAAGTCAATAATATACACACTACAGATCATTCATTAGACACTACAGAGAAAAATGGAGAAAACAGTTGCATAGTTACAAAAAAAAGCATATTGTATATAGTAAATATTTTGCAAGCACACACACACACACGAAATCACACCTAAGTTTGGTGAATATACCAAAAAAAGTTGTTACTCTCAAAAAGGATATTTAGAAACAAGTGTGAACAGTTTTGAAGTATTGTGTGTAAATGACGACAACCGTGTTGCAGTTGTCCTTAACCTTTGCTTTCTTGTGTTTAGGGTTTTGCATCACAAGTTTATCACAGTGCAAATTGTGTTTTAGTGAGCGAGAATGTGTTTAGTTTAGCAAAAAGGGTGCATGAGATCTGCAAACAGTGTCTAAACTGCCAGAACATGTTTAAGGTTTTGCAGAAAGAGTGGTTTATTACACAAATTGGTTTAGGCCAGTGAGACTTCGGCTCAGAGAGTGGGGTTTAGTGTCTTTGCAAATGTGAAAAACTGTAATACATGAAATGTGTGATTTGGCCATCAGTGGTCTTGACTAACAAAATAACTAAACGTCTTGATTTGGACATAGCCGCTAAAACAATTTCTCTTCAATAAATAAATAAAATAATAAAAATCAAACAAATCGAAAATAAAAAGTGAAATTCAGTCATGTTTATTTCAAACATAAATAACTAATTCAATAATACTTCAATTTGAATAATTGGCGCCAAGATGCTTTTAATTTCAGTGTTTTCGGTTTATCACAGACATCGTCTGATTTAAATGAGATGAAAGCTTGTTCTTAATTGTGGGAGTCAGTGGTTTATATCTGACTGACATAATTTAAAATAAAAAAGTGCTATTATTTATGTATTTTTTCAACTGGTCTTCAATTTCATGTTGATAAAACTGTTATAAAGCACCTCAAGATTTTAGATAATTATTTCTTTTGAAACCGTGTAGTCAGAACTCTTAAACAAGGTTTCACGAAATTAGTGCTTTTAAATTATCTGTTCATGACTAATTAATTTTCACAATTCCACACAAATTGTAGAGTTGACTGCATTCTTAAATTCAGTGCTTCAATCTTATTTTAAGACATTTTTTCATCAGAGTATTAACGTTTCTATTACAAACACATACATATTTAAACCTGCTGAGGTGAATGAACATTTTTTACGAAGTTGAAGCAACTCCTTTCTCCAAACCATTCATGAGAGGAAATAAGAGTTTTAGTCCTATTGTGCACCATATTAGTGAGAGCTCATTATTAATCTCGTTATTAGCATAATAATTGTATAAAGGTGCAGTGTATTTGTGCAATTACTGTGATCAAGCGATTGTTTCAAAGACACACAGGCCACTCGGTCACTAAACGGTTTATTACACTCGTTCCAGTGTCACTCAACAATACAATTCAGAATAATAACCCATGATCAGATTCAAGAGTGAACCAGATGAGTGAGTGCAGCACTATGATATCAGCCGAGTCCAACGTGAAGGAACTATAATCCAAACGCTCCATTCACTGCTGACAGTCAATGGCTACTTTTTTAACCACAGCAATATTGCATGATGCCCAAAAGTTATAAAGTTATGAATATGTTATCTGAACTAGGTGCAACAATTACTATCTATTCATTTCATTTTTTTTTTTTTTTTACACACTAAACAGTATTTCTGTAATACACTTCATACAGTACTGGAGTGCATTTGAAAATGTGCCAGAGAGATTTTAGTTATGTTTTTATACATTCGTCTTTGGACTTTACGTTAAAAATCTGGCAAAATCCCAAAGCAGGTCAGGAGAATATCGCAGCCTACAGATACCACAAAGGTGCTTTAATTTCATACTCATGTGGATGTACTTTATGCTTCAGCACAGAAACATAGCACCTGTCAAATGTAATCGTCGATCACCTGTTGATACACATGTATTGGCCGGATGTTTTAAGGTGAGTGCGTCACGTGATCAGTGTGCCGCTGACGTGCCGCTCTGGTCTCCGGCTCCCGACAGCTGCATGAAGAGCTCGCCCAGTTCATTGACCTCGTCCTCGTCCTGCGGCGTCCCGCGATGCTCGCGCTCCTCGATGAAGTCCCACAGACGCACCGAGTTCAGAAACTGAGTTCAGCAGATTCAAGAGAGAGCGATATTACACATTTATGAAGTATGTCCATTTATCATACTAAGTATCATTTTTATATATAATGAATTACTTGTGCCTGCAGATGAAACAATAAATGCGCTCAAGTTATGCCGTCCCATAGCGTATGGAGGAATTTATTCGGCAAATGCGTTTCCATCTCCCATTATTCACATAAACCCTTTCTCTTCACAAGT